ACTTTAAACATTTGATTACATATAGAAATGATAATATTTTGGATATATTGGGTTAAATAAGATAAATTAATTTCACCTTTTTTAAATGCTATTTTGGTATGGTTATTAGAAAATTTAAAATTACATTGTGGCTTCCATTATATTTTTTATGGAACAGCACTGCTCTGGAGTCTGGTAGAGAAAGATGGACATAATGAAATAATCCCACAAATAAATGCAAGAGGCAGAAGTACTCAGTACCCAGAGAGGGATTTAACCCAGTCGGGGGTCTGGAAGGTGTCTCCAAGGAAAGGACAACTGAGAGAATGTTGAAGGAGGATCATGCTGCACGGAGACCTGAGGACCAGCAAGAGAAGGACTGACCGTACAGGGAGAAGGGCCGTACGGGGAGAAGGGCCGTACGGGGAGAAGGGCCGTACAAGGAGAAGGGAGTGGGCTAGCTCAGGGAAAAAGGACTGTAAGGGGAGAAAGGAGTGGGCTAGCTCAGGGAGAAGGACTGTACAGGGAGAAGGGAGTGGGCTAGCTCAGGGAAGAAGGGCTGTACGGGGAGAAGGGAGTGGGCTAGCTCAGGGAAGAAGGGCTGTACGGGGAGAAGGGAGTGGGCCAGCTCAGGGAAAGCTGCCTTCTCCTCATCCTCGTCTTCCTTCTCTCCCTCCCTTCCATGAACCCCACAGGATTTTAGGATTTTAGCACTGCCAACAAATTTTGTAAGTTCCGTTATTGTTGTTAGGTGCCGTCGAGTTGATTTCGACTCAGAGTAACCCCATGTGACAGAGTAGCACTGCCCCATAGGTTTTTCTAGGCTGTGATCTTTATGGGAGCAGATAGCCAGGTCTTTCTCCTGCAAAGTCGCTGTGTGGGTTCTAACTGCCAACCTTTCCATTAGCAGTGGAGCGCTTTAACCGTTGCACCACTGGGGCTCCTTATTTGTAAGTTCTACTGGGCTCTAAAAATAAAGTGAAAAAGCAGTTACCCTGTCCTTGGTGACCAAAGAGAGTGCTGAGGGGCAGACACTTACCTACTCTCACCGTGAACCTTTTGGCTTGGTGGAGACAGTGAGCCGCAGTGAGGATGTAATACTCATTCAGAATGGTGCCTCCACAAAACCCTTCATTTTCCTCGTTGACGAGTAAAGCCTACAATGGGAAAGTTGGTGACTCCAGGCTTGTATCTGCAAAGCCGAGTGAAAGCTGAGGAATAGTTTAGCCCGCCAAAGCAGACCAGGTTATGTTTGACTTTCTGAGAAGAGGGATTTGAAAGAGGGCCTTATATCCAAAGTCCTTTTCATGTGAACTCCCATCACCTCCTCAACTCAAGCCTTCCCCTCCATTTCTCCTGCCTCACAATGGTCTCACTTCCCACCTGGACTGGAGCTTCCCCCATGCCTGTCAGCTGGTCTGCCAACAGTGAGATTCCCTTCCCTTCCATCCTGCCCTCTGTTGTCCTTCCCCCTATTTGAGAGCATGTGGTGTCTTCCTCTCGCCTCTGGACTCAAACTTCAACCCTTTATATTGGAATACAAGGCCCAGACCAACTCATTCTACTTTGTTCACCTTACCAACTCTTCCCTCGTTACTCCTGAACACAGCTCCAGCCCAGCAGACCTTTTCCTGCTCCTGCAACCACCTTGACCTTTCCTTTGTATCCCATTGACTGCTCCCACCTGCACTCTTTTGCCAATCCAACTGCTACACTTTCTTCAAGAATCAGTCATGATTTACCTCCATGGAACCTTCCCCAACTCCACTCCCCAACCCACTCTTTGAATCTCTACGGCACGAGTTTAGGTGGCTCCATTACACTGCCTTGTCTTTGCTTTATGGATAGACTTATTTATTTATTCAAGAAACATTTATTGAGGTCTTAACTAAGTGCCAAGTGCTAGGCCAAGTGAGGATGAAACAATAATATCAAGTTCAAAAGAATTCTTAAAGACCTTCAGGACTAGAAGGAAGTAGTATTTTTTTTAAACATAAACTATGAACTCATAATCCAGTTTGGTGGTTAGTGAGGGGAAAGTCAATCTTTCTAAGAACCTGACATCAACTCTTCTTCCCAAGATGGAAATAAGGCAATTTGCCAAGACTTCAACCAGGAAAACAAGGATCCTAAATCACAATACATTCAACAATAATATTCTCTGATGAAAATCCCACCTCGTGCATTTGCTCATGCATTCCTTCTTCCTAGAGTGCCCCTTCACCTATAGAGCCCCATCAGAATCATTCTTTAGAGCTCCAAATCCTAGCTGAACTTCAATAATGTTTTCATTGGTACCACTTTAGTGAACCTTCCACACTAACATGAATTGTGATTATTTGGGTAGGTCTTACCTCCTTTTCTAGATTTAAATTTCTGTATGTCAGCAAACCAACTTAAACGATTTTTATATCCTATATACACAACACCCAGCTCAGTACCTGACATACAGTAAGTCATACATATAATATACAATAAATATGTATTGAATGAATGATGAATAAATTCTGAAATTTTCTTTCTTTGGGCTCTTTATTATTTAGAGAAATGTCCACCAGTGGTGTAACCTGGAGTTTGGGGGAGAGCCAAGATTTCTGAAAGTTGTTGGTGGCTCTTGGATTTTTGCTTGTAGGAGATGCCATTTTGGCTTTGGACGTTTAGATTTAGGGATTGCCAGATAAAATACGGGACACTCAGTTAAGTTTGAATTTCTGATAAACAACAATTTTTTTTTTTTTAAGTACAAGTATATCCCAAATATTGCATGGGACATAGTTA